TTTATTCAGTCGTATTGATTAGTACAAGTGTTTAAAAGTTTTAAATATTTTACGATGATAAAACAAAAACTGTATTTTACCTTTTCAGTATTTAGAGTCATATTAAATTTCAAGGTTTATTGCAATAAAATTAACCTTAATATAGCGACCACACACGGTGTAATTATAATTTTGTACCTACAAATATGCACCTCAATATAAAACAAGAGGAATATGACCTACATAATTATAGATTGCACCGATTTTACTGGACTCATTTGTTTTTTTTTAAACCATAAATAAGTATATTCCTCATCAGCATTTAACTTTCCGTTTATTATTCCACTTTAATCTAAAATCTAATTAAAATTGGATAACAAACAAACTATCATTTTCTATTCTGCGGTATGCTATGAAAATAGTAAGTTAATAGTAAGAGAATAAATCTTAGAAATTAGCTCACAACTTTCTATTAACAATTACATTGTTAAGATCATGCATCAAGCATCATGTAAAAAATATCGTGCTATTTCGATACACTCCGTTTACCTCCGACGTTGAAAGAGAAACCGAATGCATTACGAAAGTAAACATTGTAATCGCATTTACATAATGAGAGTGATCAGCACATAAAAACGTTTATTTACGAATACGTAGGATAAAGTCAATGGCAACATTAAAAAAACAACTGTCAATGTCATCTGGCAAAGATTAAAAATTTTATTCAAAATGGCGGCATATTAATCAGTTATTATGGTATTATTTTACTAATATTACAAATGCGAATGACAATTATTTTTGTAATTACACAAAAAATATTAAGGAATAAGATTTAATAAATTTTTAAATATATTTGGTTTGCATTAATAAGGATTAGGAGCTGGTAGTGTTCATTATTTATAACATTTTGCTTCTCCTTTTTTGCTTTACGACACCTAAAAGTGCGACGAGTTTCTGATAAACTCGTTCTACATATCTCTGATAAGGTTTTTTCCTCTGAATCTGGAAGCTAATGACTGGTCGCACTCGAGTATCATAAATCTGTTACATCATTAACTATCGCGTGACTATGAACCATAAGCTAAGATGTCCCCGGGTGTTTACGACCGTTTAAGCCTTCCCGCACTAATTTATCGATTAACACTAAATTAAAGATTCAGTAAGTACGTAACAGATATAACTAGACCCGACCGTTATCTAATAACTTCGAAGGATTAAACCGCATACACTTATCTAATCTTAACATACCGGTCTTCCGAAGTTCAGAGCATATCAAAGAACGCATATTACCATCCCTATTTAAAGGAAAATCTCTCGATTATAGTGGCAATTACTTAAAAAAAACTTTAAAAATTAAACCGAGTCTTTTTTATCTACCTGTATTAAAAATATATTTTAATGTATCCGAGTTATACTACCATATTAAAGGAAAATACATTATCCTGAGACTTAATTATTACGAACATTAACGTCAGTATTAAATGGGAAATTTACAACTTGCAACACCATCAGCGACTAAAAACAAAAATGTCAACCAAGATGCGCCTACGCACGCGAGCACGCGGTAACCATGGTAACGCGCCGCCACGGAATTCAAAATGGCCGGCGTGTCTTATCAAGTTATTGAATACAAGCTTCAACGTGCGATTTCACCTGCGCAGCAATATTTTAAATTAAGTTCTCCGTGTATATTATTGGGTGTTTTTTTTTTCAATTTAACAAATTATTTAAAGATACGTATGAAGCTCACTTTGGACAAATGTTTTTATTTTAGAGAATTTACCTTCTAACTTCATTTTTCGAGGATATTTTACAACTACAAAATTAAACTGTATTTATATAAATACAGATTATATAATCTTTAACAATTATCTAACCATCGTTATAGCCCATTACAATAATCAGATGAATGTAAGCTGTTTGACAGCTCCTTGAGAGCTAATTTTCGTTGAACAGCCATGATAGCTTGGATCCAATGCTGCAGTCCACCAGTATGCAGAAATTACTAGTAATATCAGGTACCCCATGTCAAACTGTCAAAGTCATTTCCTATTAATTGTTTTTAACCATGCAATAAAAATTATATAGTCTGTCGATAGGAAGTATGATCGAGTGTTGCCATATCTTAAAAAGAGATAAAAACTATGAAAAGAAGAGTCAATATTTATATTCTTCCTTAATGGATAAGAAAAATGTTTTCAATAATTAGATAGATTTTTTTAATAGAGACATTTTTTTAATTTACGTTATACAAAGGAAAAAATTAAAAAGATATATTTTAGATTAAAAAATTTAGATTTTTGTATAATTTGTTAGATTAAAATGAATCTTAATTTTTAATCTATAATGTCTTAATTACATTGAATACAGATTTTAAATATATATGCATATGTAAGTATTAAGTCAATGCCCTAAGGAGCTGGTTTAGTTTTTTATCTTCTATATATGTAGTTCATTAACTATTTGCTATATTGAACCCAATTATAACTTTTGATAAAATCTACAAAGCAATTACACATGTTGCAATAATTTGTTACGCCTATCCAAAGATATATTATCAAGTGAATATCATAAATCGACTTTATCTAATCAGCAATAAGGTTTAAAATCGTATAAAATTTATTATTAGAAGAACTTTATCCAATTTTAATTACATCTTATTATAGTCTCCAGCTTATAAAATTATTGGTAAAAACATATTTTTTTTCTTTTATTACCTCTACCAAAATAATAATAAAATAATTAGTATATCTATTGTGAAACATGAAAGCATAGACTTTTATATAATAATTATGCAAAACGCGACTTAACCATTCATGTATTCATTGTGTAGTTTCATTCCAGCAACAAAACTAGACATTAGTAGTCTCCCATCGTATACCATCGCGTTTGCACATGCGTCCGAACTTGAATGAATCGACTACAAAAACTTTAATCGATTTAATTCCTAAACATTCGAAATATTTCACAATTATTTCGAAGTAAATTCCGACTTAATTCGTAAATCGCAGACTGTATTTCTCCAAGAATCGATTTCCAGTACACAATCGAGAGAATCGAAACAATCGAATGCATCTTGGAATCGCATCACTGGGCCGTGCGTGTCCCAGTACTATCTTAACTTATCACAATCGAGTCCAGGCTTATCCGCTCCGTATATAAACAAAAGGTTATTTGCTACGACAATTGTTCATTTTGGTTTTGTTAGAAATACAAGATAAAAGATTTTATAGCGCTTTGTTGCATTTTAATCAGCTTATATCGTGTTTTACAATTTGACAGCTTTATAAAGTTAAACAGTATAAAATAAAAAGTAGATTAAGATTTAAAAGCTGTTAAGGAAAAACAGCTGGGCCTAGTCACCCTAACTTACGGTAGGCCCCGAGCCCCTCGGCGAGGACGTATAGTGAGCTGATGATGATGATGAAGTTAAAATTATTACAATTTTTTAAAGTCAAAAGAAAGTCCGATATGTAATTACTGAGAAACAATCATTTAACCTCATTCGATTCTTAATTCTCTTTGCTAATTCGTTTACAATACAACGATAACGCTGTTGCGTCCGAGAGCCGGTAGGGGGCGCCCGGGGCACCGAGCACTGTTTAATTTTCAATTTAGATCGCAATTTGCGATGCGTTCGACGCACGCCCAAACTCGCATCACCAGCCTGATAGATTTATTGCACTTACGCCATAGTACTATATTGTGTGCATATATTAAATGAAATTAACTCGTATAAGTTATGAGTGAATCGGATTCAGTAGATAAGAGTAATGAAAATTTTGGGAAGATTTTTTTTTGCATCGACAAATTCGTCAGGCGCAGGCGGGGCGAAGGCCCGATGGAAATAAAGATCTGTCCCACGTGACTAATTTGCGTTCTTTCGCGTTGTGTGCTTGTTTTTATAGTAATTGAACGTCGGTACAGCGATAGCGTTTATTGTAACGGGTCCGTATAAATTACTTTTCTGGTTGCTAATTATAACGAATACCGCGCGCGGATAAAATCCATTGCTTTGATTCGACTTTAATAGCCTCTCATATCTCCGTCGTTGTAATATCATGTTACACTGATTATTCTTGTTTAAACGCCCATATTGCTTTATACTATTTATAGACACTGTTTATATTATTAACTTTTAGACATTATTAGTTAGAACTCTGGCGCGAATGGTGTGCTTTCGTTACAGTCACGTGTCGTAATGAGTGAGGGGATATAAAAGTCGACATTTTAGTAAGGGTAGTGTTGCGCCAATACACCGTCACAGTGTCGGATTTTCTTCTTAACAAAACTTACTAAAAATATAGAATTTTGTAATTTTGTAAACTATAATAAATTATTGAATAAGTTCATATATTCTAATGAGTTAAGGTAAACATATTATTTATTATATTAAATATAAGTGTTTTTTATCTATTAATTAATTATGAAATGTGTATTATCAGCTATGATCGATTATAATATTCCAAGTGTTTTAACAATCATACGCAATCAATACTGTATGTTGTCATCACGTTCAACTCGCTCCAACAATCAGACGATATCTGACATTCGACGCTTTAAAATAACGCAAATTATCACGCACTAAAATACTTTCTCATGCTTTCGACTTTTATTAACGCTGACATTTAAAATCGATTTTTTTAATCAACCGTCATATAAAAATGTCGACACCAAAATATACGAGAATCGAATGTAAAGTCAACAAACATCAACTTGGTATCTATATGATGTTTTTTGAGATGTTATATAATTAAGTAAGATACGTTCATAGTAATAAGTTTGTCGAATACAATGATACAATAAGCTGGTGACGTATCATCGCGTCACATCTTCCGCCAGGCAAGGACCGAAGGCAGTTCTACGTTCCCATTATAATTGCAAATGCGCTAACACTTTACAAGTTCACAAGCGTAGAAACGTTGACAAGAGTTATTTGTTTTATTTACAATAGAACATTAGAAAGCGATGCTTAGATTAAGGGGAATTCGATTATAACTAAATTTAGAAGAATATCTTACCTTTAAAATGCAGCTGCCGACTGCTTCGCTCTCCGACACGGTGACATTGTAGAAAGACTGGTCGAATATCGGCTCGTTGTCGTTCACGTCCAACACAGTTACCAACAATGTAGCAGTGGACGTCAGCGGCGGTGTACCGCGGTCAGTCGCCACCACCGTTAACTTTGGCATTGGATTCGTTTCACAATCAACGCGAGAACGTGTTGTCACTAATCCTGAACGCTCGTCAATCGCGAACCAATCCGATTGCGGTGTTGGTAACAACGAATACCTAATTTCCGAATTCTCTGCCTCATCCGCATCCAATGCAGACACTTGAATGACGGGTGTACCGGGCGCGGCAGCTTCGGGCACACTCGTTTTATATACACTTTCCAAAAATACTGGAGGATTATCGTTCACGTCAGTCACTCGAAGACTGATGATACGCGACGCGTGTAAAGGAGGCGATCCTTTATCAGTAGCGACTACGTTTAGAGTATAAGTAGATCTAGATTCCCGATCCAAGGGTAACGCGACTACAACTAAATAGATGATGTTATCGTGCGTCCGCAAATCGAAATGTCCATCACCACCACTTAGTGTTACATTTACATTTGCGTATTCCGTTTTTGAATCCGGATCGTGCACAGATATTCTTGCTACGAATTCATCTAGCTGCGCAGATTCAGATATTTTTGGAGTAGCATCATCACTCAGGAATATCACGTCTATGGTTGGTTGATTATCATTCACGTCCGTAACTCGAATGGATACAAAGGCAGTTGTTTCCAAAGGTTGTGCACCTTTATCTCTAGCAACAACCACAAGTTCATGTAGTTCTTTGGTTTCAAAATCCAAAGCTTTATTTACAGTAATCTCCCCAGTATCAGGATCTATTTTAAACATATTCTCTTTATCACTTTGTCTTCGATTTATTGAGTATTCAATCAGTCCATTCTCTGCTGCATCAGAATCTGTTGCGAAGACTTTTAGTACAGTTGTACCTATGGTGGCATTTTCTGGTATTGTTGCAGAATATACACTTTCAGCAAACACTGGAGGATTATCGTTTACATCTAATATTGTAATATTTACAGTCATCGTACCTCTAAGTGGTGGTGTACCGCCGTCTAACGCTTCTATAACTAATTCATAATGGTCCGTTGTTTCCCTATCAAGAAATCCATTGATTTGTAAATCTAAATAAAGAACACCGTCTAGTTCCCTATGGGAGGACAATCTATACGCATTTTCCGTATTGCCCGACACTATGTTATACCTTTGCGTATTAAAAACACCTAAATCCTGGTCCCTAGCCGGATTTAGTTTTCTTTTAACGTCCCTAGGAGTGTTTTCAGAGAATTCTACATTCATAACTGGCGTCGGAAAAGTTGGTGCATTATCATTTTCATCTGAAACTCTGACAACAACACGGATGTTATCACCACTAGCGGGTATTGCAACAAGCGCGTATTGATCTCTGTTCTCTCTGTCTAGAGGGGCGCGGGTCCGTATCTCTCCAGTATGGGGGTCTATTTTGAGGTCGTCATTAACAGCGCTGCCGGGAACTGGGACTATTGTGTATGGTGGTGCGGCGTCGGGAAGTTCGTCTCCGAGGTGACCGACTAGCGTGCCCGCGCGCGCGTTCTCTCGCACCGTGAATTCCCGGACGTGCTCGGCGGCGGCAGCCACCACTAGCAATGTAATGACGCGCAACATGGCGCGTTTGTTGTCCTCACCGCTCGCACATCCTCACACACACCTGGAAAAAATAACCTTTTTAGTAAACGACTAGTAAACTTTCTTAACATACTTAAAATCATATTAACTAAATAAAATAAGTGAGTAGCTAGAACCGCTTAACTATTCCGATCCTGTTCAAAGATACAACGTCATTATTTCACATTTAACTGTGTTGTAAACATTTGGTTAAATCGCAGTTAAGCTTAACAACTATTATATTCAGCGGACCCCGCCCTAAATTACTCTACATTAGATTCATATTATACGAGATAGTGCCTAAATAGGCCACGATTGCTATCACCAAATCGCTAGCGCGCTTAACATCCTATTTAGTAACAATTACATCATTTTAAGTACAACGCCATCTACCGTAAAAGCAAGTGAAACATTTGCGTCATATTAACTAAACTAAGTATAAAATACTTTATTCCTTGTGAAATCTTGCCTCAACGAGTTAAAGCTCAAGCAAGTTGTACATGTTGTAAGTGAAAACATTTAACGCTTTTACTTGTGTTACGCAAATTATTATAAAAAAAACAGTGCAAGTTGTGACAACTTTTACATCCTCACACCGTAGTGATGTATTAATTTTATCGTGTATATTTAAATATAAGATACGTTAATGTTAACCCTTTTACAACTCTAAAATCATCACTAGAAAATTAAAAAAAAAATACGTTATGGATCGATCGTTAGTTCTATATTTTCTATGCTTTCGCCCCCTACTGAGTCCACGTGGAATAAAAAAAATACTTAATTAATAGCCTATGTATTCTTCCAGAATATAGCCAAATTTCAGCGAGATCCATACAGACATATCGTTCGGAACTACATTTAAAAAAAACAATTCATCCATCCATCAAATTTATAAAATTAGTAACATGACTCAATTTAAAATCTCAATCGTATCCATAACAAAATTAATTACAATATAAACATATTTTTTGTTACTTCTAAGAATTTACAATAAACAAAACAAAAGCATTAACAAATTATAAATGTATTATTAACAAGAAACACTTATATGCGAAATATCCTTTCTCATTACACTGACCCGAAACGAATAAAAATATTAGCATATCTTGAACCCTTGTCAGTTTGTGCTGCTGCCTGTCTTTAGTCATTTATTTATTTTAAACATCTAAGTGGTGAGTTGCGAAATGTCTGAAACGCATTCGATAAACAGGATGTGTTTCCAGATAAGACGTAATGCAACTAAACGTGTCACGGAAGACTTAGTTTAGATGTTAAGAAGGAATGATATATTATTACAACACGTTAAATTCAACAAGTTTAATAATTAAAAATAAACTGTACTTTTCACTCATTGGTGGAATATGTCTACGTGTATGTATTACTCTACAAAAGCTTTGTCTATGTCTTAAAAACGTCACGCGTTTATTGAAAGCATAGAGCAGGCGAGCGCGAGTCGCGGTAAGTATTAGTGGGTCATCGACAAACCTTCTGCGCGATGCTAATATCATTTCCAAACTGTGATAAAAAAATAAAATATCTCCCTACATCTTTATAATATACACACTTATTTAAAGTTATTCAAGATATTTTAGTACACAAAATACTAGCTGCCGTCCGCGACTCCGTCCCGAATGAAAAAACCATAATTCGTAGCCTATGTGTTCTACATCTATGCCAAATTTCAGCGTGATCCATGCAGCCGTTCTGGAGATACTTTTAAACAAACATCCATCCAGACATTCGCATTTATAATATTAGTAAGTTTGAAAATTCTTGACCATTACAACTCCGGATTCAAATTATTTTCATATTAAGACTGACTACTAATCATTGCGCTGTCTCGATTCGCTAGCAATTAGCAATCTCTCTAACCGTTTTATCTTACGCAAATAAAATAAGAAGTTTAAAAACTAAATGAGTGTCGTAACTAGGTCATCTCTTTAATAGACATATCGTTACAATTTAATTTTATAGCAAGTCTTATTAGAGAAAGTGTTAATTAACAATTTGATTACGACAAAATAAACATATATTTTAAAACTTTTTTGTTGTTTTTCTAATCAACTTTAATTTCTAATTAAGATTTTTGTTACACTTTCAAATAACTTGTTGTTAGCGCGCGAACAGAGCCCTACTCTATCCCATAATGTATACATTTTTGTTGTATTTTTTACAAAGAAAACTTCTTTCAATCCTGGGCCTTGACTCAATTAACACATTTTCAATTATAGTATTATATCTGGACTAGCGGACCCGACAGACGTTGTCCTGTCTACACGTCTTTAATTTGAATAAATTGATATGAAGTTAATATTTGATGAAAATTGTGAATCTAAACCATTCCCAGATCCCCTTGAACACACACAAAAAATT